CTCCCCAGGGGTATTCTGGGCTTTAGTCTGCTTTTACAAATGTATTATATGTGGTGAGATGTAATGCTGGTAGACAGTCATTATTTGAATGATCAAATATCTCAACAAATTATGTAAATACGTTAAATCAGTATCTTGCACATCATTTTAAGAATCTAAAACATAAGTGTCTCATTATTTTGAGATGACATTATTGAGATATGGCATAATTTTCTTAGTTTCTCATGCCTTTTTAAAAATCGTTGGTGGAAATAAGTTTCCATAGTATGTTAAAATTGTTTCATGGTGTTAACATGACATACAGTAATCTTATTGTATTCGCAAAAGCATGCAGCTATGCAATGTTTTTCCACATAATTAAGTCTTTAATTATTAATTATAAAAACTATGTATCTTGGCAGTGATTTTTACAATGCAGTGAAATATATCTGTAGACTTTGTACCTGTGTGTAGGCTGTATATGGCAATTGGCCTTAATGGACAGACATGCGTCTTTGTCCTGGTCATTAACAGACCCCTCTATGGTTAATAGGCTACTAGATATATGTGCAAACTTGTGGGACTCTTTTACTTTCCCAGAACTTCAAACAGATGACATAAATACTGATTTTCCTTTGGATTCAAAATCTGTTGCTGCTTTTGGAAAGTTGTTGCATGTGCTGTGGTGAAGGTTGAACCTGAGTTTGTCTTTTTCTAAAATCAGGTTTGTAATGAATCATGAATGAAACATTAACCTGCTTAAAAATAACCAGTTTGCAGGAGCACCACAGTTAGCTCAGATAAATTCGACTAATTGGAAACAACTTTTTAGATACCTGATTATAAAACGTCCATTTGTCCTGTCTTTTTAGCAAGCTATCCAATGGAGAGGTTAACACTTACCTTAGCTGCAAAGCATCTGGACTATTTTATAAACCCTTTGTGGAGTATTTCTCATTAAAAAGTGCTATCCTCTCTTGTGACAGACAAAAACGCACATGTAATTAACAACATGAATAATAAATGCTGGAAGGTCTTACTGGGACTGATATTATTTGTACCTGTGCTGACTATGTCCGGTATAAAAACATCTATTGCTGTAAATGCTTTTAACTTGTTATTAAATTCATGAGGTTATGTTCAGTTTTAATGTCCTTATTGTGTAAAACAGACTATAATGTTGATAATAGGTCTACCGACTTTTTCTTTTTACTATTTAAATAACAGGATTTTCTTTCTTCTTTCTCCCCTCACCCACCCACTGTATTGTTCCCCAGCTTCAGAAGCTGACCAATCCTGTGTGAGCGACAGCACAGTACTATTTGCATCAGGGGGATACAAAAAGTTCGCTTTCCGATTAGTACTGTTACTTCTTATAGGAGAAATTTGCTGTTCAGATCATGCCTGAAACCACCGTCAAAGCGCCCAAGAAGGGCTCAAAGAAAGCCGTGTCTAAGAGCGTCAGTAAGAGCGGCAAGAAAAAGAGGAGGACCAGGAAGGAGAGCTACGCCATCTACGTGTACAAGGTGCTGAAGCAGGTCCACCCCGACACCGGCATCTCGTCCAAGGCAATGGACATCATGAACTCGTTTGTGAGCGACATCTTTGAGCGCATCGCCGGTGAGGCCTCCCGTCTGGCTCACTACAACAAGCGCTCCACCATCACTTCCAGGGAGATCCAGACCGCCGTCCGCCTGCTGCTGCCCGGTGAGCTGGCCAAGCACGCAGTGTCTGAGGGCACCAAGGCCGTCACCAAGTACACCAGCTCCAAGTAAATGTGCTGACATGTGATCATCAACACAACGGCTCTTCTAAGAGCCACCCACTTTATCTAAAGACATACCGTCTGGTGTGTGAGAATAAGAAACGAAGTTAAAGGTAGAAAAGTGTATAAATATGGAGTTAATTATTTTTTCTGATTTTTTTTTTTTGTCTGAACAACATAATGGTGGTAGTAGAAATGCTGACAGGGAGGAGGGCGAGCGCACAGACAAACCACTTGCTAACAATCTCTCTGCTAAAATGTCGAGTACAGAGTGAGTCACAGAAACAAAACATCTGGTAAACAGAAGTGTATATAAAGGAGCACGGAGAAAACCAAGAAACTACAGAGCACTCAAAGCACTCAGCACCAAAACAGCAGCTCAGTTGCTGTCCAAGGTCCTGTTTCATGGCATCACTGAGTGACTGCTTTTCATTTGTTGTTTCAGCCGACATCGAGCTGTGATACAGCCACCAGCTCCCACCATCATCCCTCTGTGTAGGGTCTATGCACATCATTTTCAGCACTCATGCTTGTACCTGGTCTGACTCTGCTATTACACCTACAAACCACTAGTCTACGTCAGGTTTCTGTGAATTGCTGTTAAGTGTAGTTGTTTCAAAACACACATTAAACATGTCTTTATGGTGACATTTTCAAAGACTTGGGCACATTTTCCCTACATAACAAAATGGTAATGTTATTAGCACAAAAATGTAAAATGCCTATGGCAAAGTAGCTTAGCAGCTAGCGGACATTTCCTCTACTCATATGAAGCCAGAATAAGTCTCTCACAAGACAAAATGCTATTTTGTGGGGGCTTTTAATGTTTCTAACCTGTGACATGTAAGTAACTAAAAGCTTCATTTCCACTGAGGGAAATGCTTTGCAGCATACAAAAATAGCCAGGAGGTCTGTGTCACAGTGACTTGTAATTACATTTCTGGGGAGGTGATATCAGGAGGAGCAAACACCTCGGGTCACACCACCTCTGCTGCAACAGCAAAGGTGTCCACTCTCCACTGCTTCTCTGACGGGAGAAGGTGTGTGCAATATGAGGGGTGAGGGCCAGGCTGGCACACATAGAGCCCAGGCATGACTCGCAACTGGCATGAACGTCATCTACCATGATTTGGCCCAGCAAGCAGAACCGAAGCAGACACCGCTGGAAGAAGACATCTCTTTTCATTCTCCTTTAGTCTACTCAGATGCTTACTGAAGACAAATGGGAGCTGAATTTCAAGTTTCATTGCTAATGAGAACGGACAACTATGATATTTTACTGAACTTGTATGGGATGTTTTTATGTAACAAACTGACTGACTGACTGGTTGATTGCTTTTAGAGGGTGAAGCCTATAGGAAATAGAACTGGCAGTTCACAGTGTGAAACACTGCTGAAAGGTCCAACAGGATGACAACAGAGGAGAGGGAGGCTGCTCTGGCCGTGTGGAGATCCTGTGAAGGAGAGTCGAGCAGTCTCAGTAGAGTGGCCTGTTTCTTCAGTCTGATGGGAGGGTTAAAATAAGTGATTATTCTACATATCACCAGTATATTTGGTCCACTGTGTTTCTATTGCTATTCTTTCTGACAGTGTGGAAGTGCTTTTGGATTGGATTGGATTCTAATTTATTATTTTCCACTATATTACAGTTAAATATCCATTCATAGAAAACAAAGCCAGAGAAACACACAGACAGAATACTACATTAATCTCTGCAAACATAATGATTGTCCTTGATACTTTAGTACAATCTCAGAGTTCTTGCACTTTATTAAATATAAAACTTTTCACCTTTACCTACTTTGAAACATTAAGTCATTGTAGGTAGGAGACATGCTGCCCCTGACCATGAGACTGTTGCTGTTGTTCAGCTGTTGCTGTTGTGGCTTCAATAAATGAAACTATGCTGACAACCACCGCACAACTTAAGATCCCCAGCTACAACATCATCAGAAAGGAACGGCAGACAGGACGTGGAGACAGAGTGGCGATCCCAATTAAGAAAAACATTGACTACACCAAAATTGACTACAACCTCCCACCAGACAAACTGAAGGGAAATTAGTATGTTGTAGCCAAAATGACAATCCATTCACATCATCCCATCACAGTCACCAGCATCTACTGTCCCCCTGGAATAAAACCCTCAGCAGCTCTGTTCACCACCATTTCCAACACCAGCTATTCCCTCACAGTGGGCGATCTGAACGCAAAGCACACAGACTTTAATTGCAAAAAAACAAATCAAAGTGGCACAGCACTAAAACAGATTTTAACTGACACAAATCTGTCCATTGTAAACAAACAAACCCATCTATCAACATGCACTCCTGACTTGGCTATAAAACTTCATAACTTTACCACCACAAACTATCTCTCCAGTGACCATCTGCTTATTCTCACTATAGTCTCCTTTATACAACAGTTAGATCCGGTCCTGTAATCTAATTGGTCGAGAGACAGTAAAACCGTGACGATATTGGAGTACAACATCACGATATTTCACTGTGTATGTATCACTCAGCCTCACAGCTGATTATAATCAACAATCAAATCAAAACTGACGGTTAGTGTCAGTTAGGTCAGCAGTTGCGTTGCATCCCTGGAAAAGTATTTAAACAAACTTCCACCAGATGCAAATGCCCTTTATCTGAAGCCCAGGGTGACAGCAGCTCACACAGACAATATCTGGTACACTAAAGCTCCGCTGGGAATAAACTCACTCGCACAGATGCTGCCGAAGATGTGTAAAGAGGCGGGGACAACAACTATCTACACCAATCACAGCCTCAGGGCGACTGCCATAGATGCGGGTCTTGAAACTAGGGAGATCATGACAATGAGTGGGCACAGGTATGATGTTGTTTTAACGCAACCTATGTGTAAAGTTAGTCTTCTAATTAGGAGTCGGGCCCTAAATATAGGCTACCTTTTGTCTTGCCGGTCTGAGAGCTTGTTAAAAAGCTACTGGAAGCCATCCATGGAGAGCAGGAAACGATGGAGCAACATACTGTCAGATCAGAAGGCAGAGTCGGCTGTGCCTGTGAAGTGACAGTCCACCATGCAGTCACCAGAAACTTATTTCACCGGCTGCATAATTAATGGAAACGTGCAGATAATGTGTATAAAGAGTAAGTGCCTGGCGCACCATGTCTGCGTTACATAGCAACGGTGACAGCGGAGTCCTGAGGGAACTATTTTTGTTGGCGGAAGAAATAGGCCTGCGGCCTCGTGCCTATGACCAAATCACAGCCGTGACGATATACGAGTATAACATCACGAGCTCGAGTGTGATATTGCTTAAACTACAAGCAACTCAGAGAAAAAAATACAACTACAGAACAGCAAACTGGGAAACATTCAGAACAAACATAGAAGAAAAACCAAAGGGACCACTCTCATTACCATCCCCGAAGGTCTGGACCACCAAGCAACTAACCTAAGTTAACTTCTCATCCAAGCCAGAGAGGAAACAATACCCCAAACATCTGCCAAAGCACCGGCACAGACACTACCCCCTCACCTCCTCCAGCTCATACAGCGAAAAAGAAAACTGTACAGAGAATTTATCAGGTTCAGATCACCCCACACCAAAACAGAAATCAACCACCAGGAATGAAAAACATAGTTGACAAAGAAATTGAACAGCATGACAGAAAACAGACACCAACAGCCAACCACAAAACAGAGCACCATCACCTCACAAAACCAGTCACCACTCAAGAAATACAACTGCAGCTGAAAAATACGAAAAACAAAGCACCAGGGGAAGACAAAGTCGACACCATCCTCATTAAACAAGCACCTGTCACCTACCTTCAGCACCTTGGACAGCTCATCTCCACCTGCCTCATAACCCGTCATTTCCCCTCTCTGTGGAAGATTGCAGTTGTTACCATGATACACAAAGCAGGAAAAGACCTGCACAGTGCCACAAGCTACCACCCCATCAGCCTCCTCAGCCACATTAGAAAACTGTTTGAAAGAATACTCACCTCATGCCTCACCAACCATATAGAATCAATGGGCCTCCTAGGAGTCCACCAAGCAGGTTTCAGAAAAGGAAGAGCCATATTATTATTATTATTATTATTATTATTATTATTATTATTATAGCCAGGAGGTCTGTGTCACAGTGACTTGTAATTACATTTCTGGGGAGGTGATATCAGGAGGAGCAAACATCTCAGGCCACACCACCACTGCTGCAACAGCAAAGGTGTCCACTCTCCACTGCTTCTCTGAAGGGAGAAGGTGTGTGCAATATGAGGGGTGAGGGCCAGGCTGGCACACATAGAGCCCAGGCATGACTCGCAGCTGGCATGAACGTCATCCACCATGATGTGGCCCAGCAAGCAGAACCGATGCAGACACCGCTGGAAGAAGACATCTCTTTTCATTCTCCTTTAGTCTACTCAGATGCTTACTGAAGAAAAATGGGAGCTGAATTTCAAGTTTCATTGCTAATGAGAACGGACAACTATGATATTTTACTGAACTTGTATGGGATGTTTTTATGTAACAAACTGACTGACTGACTGGTTGATTGATTGCTTTTAGAGGGTGAAGCCTATAGGAAATAGAACTGGTGCTCTCTGGACTCTGTGCAGGTGGTGGGAGACAGATAACAGCTCGGCTGTCATCCTCCTGAGGACTAACACTCCCATCCTCTGCATGAGGAGATCAAAACTCTGGAGAGTTCCTTCAGCGATAGACTGATTCACTCAAAGTGTGTGAAGGAACACTATCGCAGGTCCTTCCTGCCTGCTGCTGTCAGACTACTAACCAGCACTGCTGAAAATCAGCTGCACCATGGACACTTTAGAAACACCATTATAAGCATTACTGTTCCCTTGTTGTTGCTTTTTGCACATACAATCACTTTGCACTAGATATGCTCTCTTTAATCCATTGCTCATTATT